GCTCTTCCTGAACTACAGTGCGTGTGTGCATTGACTTTAAACGTCTGAATCTGTCGTGTCTGTCTCTATATACAAATAACTGGTTAATGAAACTGATGTAAAACAAGATTGAACAGATTCTGGTTTTAATTATATTTTTTCTAAATGTATTTTAGCATCTTTGGCACTGGCAATACTTTAGGATTGGCAATAACTACTATGGTAATTCCATTTTAATTTCAAATTGACAGAGCAACTTAATTTATTGGGGGGAGGATGTTATATTTGCCATAGTGCTAGATGAAATGCAATGCACTTCAGAATATTTCTATTCTTTGTTTTGTCAGATGGAGAAACAACACTAACAATTAATCAAATTTCAAGTTTGCAGTCTGTAGCAGTTCTATCTTTCCCACTTCTATATCCTTCTGAAAAGGAATATATTGCCAGTATTTCATGATTGTATGCAGATCTCTTCTGTTACATTTTTTCCAAGCTGTAAGCACTTTCAGGATTTTCATTTTTACAGTTCTAGCAAGAACTGTATTTACTTTTCTGTAAATAAAATCTTAAATGCGATATAAAGCTCAAGCATTTTTAATGGAATTCTAGCAGCACTTGCTAGATCGATTTTGTACTCCTGTAGAAAATACAGTTTGAAGTTGATAGAAATTATATATTGACTGAGATGGGGGTTTACACTTTTAAAAATTTTAAAACTACTGTGGTCCTTAATTAAATGAGTTTACAGGAATGTGTAAAGGCCAACTATAGATATGGTCTCCTTGGTGCTATAGTCTCATGTAGTGCTTAGGTCTATGCAGACACAAAGTAGTCAGCAGTTCCTACCCCAGAGAGCTTCTGCCCAAACAGCTAAGACAGGTGCAAGATGGAGAAAGTGTTAGAATGCACAAAGTGAACGGTGGGGTGGTAGGAGAGAACAAATGAATGAAGAAAAAAAGGGAAGGGGGATAAGGGTCTATGGAGAAGCAAAGCGGAGAGCAGGTGTATAGTGAGACAAAAGGGAGAAGTAAAACAGAAAAAAAAAAAAACCACAGTCAAAACTGCTGTGGGAGGAATGACCAAGTTTCCTTGATTTTTGGTGTTTTGCACTTTCCTTATTTTCCACGAAAGGACATAATATGGGTGGCACAGAGATGCATTAACCCTGTATGGTTCTGGGTCTGGCTGGCCAGCTGCGTAGGAATGAATCCTATTTCATGCCACTTCAGTGCAGGAATCTCTGCTCTGGCTGCTTTTGCTCCTACCTGGTTTCATAGAGGTCTTTTTGCCTTGCAGTCTGTTTTTTAAACATTAGATATATATTTAGGTAGCTTTTAGTAAACTATTGAAGTATCAGCATGATAAACATGGCAATAGTTTCTTACATGAATGTGGAGGGAAGAAGTAGCATGCTTTTAAAAATACTTTCCACCTGAGGATTTGTCTAAAGGAAAATTTCAGCCCTATGTAGATTTTTGAAATCGTGTCAAAATTTGATAATGGAGAAATGAGGGAGGAGGGAAGTTAATCAACTGAGTTTTTTTTTTAAAAAAATTTTGCAACAGGTGCTGCACTCTTCAGAGAAATCTTTTTCAAATGTGCAAAGTACTTCTGTCTTTTGGTAGTATTGTGATCTTCTTCTGTCTGCAAACATAGTCATGAAAGACAGCAGCTTGTATTCTTAGTAAGGTTAATCCGTCATTGTATTCTGAAACTGTTAATTTGTTTTCCATTGTAGATGGAGAAGAGAAAACATACGGTGGGTGTGAGGGCCCAGATGCTATGTATGTGAAGTTAATATCTTCTGATGGCCACGAGTTCATTGTAAAAAGAGAGCATGCATTAACATCAGGAACAATAAAAGCTATGTTGAGTGGACCAGGTAGGTACAAAAAATTCAATGCTTTCATGTCCTTCGTTTTCTTTATTGGACGGTTTGAATCTATGTCATGTAGTGAGTGAAAGTTGAAGTAAGTAATAACTTTTCCTAATCCTTACTAGTTCCTGTTTCTGTTGGAATAGTCCGTCTCTGCAGAGGTGTACTACCAGCCATATGATTGGACTCTGCTTTTGAACTGTTAGCATCTTTTGGTGTTGTTACTACTCATTTCCTCTATTATGAGAACTTGAGGGCATTAAATGAAGCTTGCAGCTCTCAAGTTCAAACAAACAAGAGCTGGTAGTCCCTCGTGGCTGAGCTTTTGTGATTAAGCTCAGGAACTCCTTTCCGTAGGATCTTGTGAATAATGAAAGCTTGCTTGTGTTTGAGGGGAGAGTAGATAAATTCATAGAGGGAAAACTCATCGAGTGTTACTTAGTGCTTGAAACCACCTCTAGCTTAAGCAGTGCCTGAACTACTACTTACAGAAGTCCAAAGGGATGGAGAAGAGAATGGAGAGAAGTGGGTTTTTTTGTTTTTTTTTTTTTAAAAGCATGCTTGTCCCCTTCTGTATCTTCATCTTTTACATTTACCTTTGGCCACTTTAGTGGTGGGCAGTACGGTAGCGGACCTCTCTTCTGACCCCGTAGTCGTTCTTATATTCTTTCAAATTCTGGTGAGGGGAGGTTGCTGGAGAGAGTTCTTTTTCTTAATAGATCTTGAGATTTTTTTCAGGAACCGTTAGGCAAATTGAACGGTTACAAATCTCAGCTTAACGTTCCACTAAGTGTCATAGTAATGATTGCACTTGAAAATATGTAGCAGACCTGTTGTGTCTGATCTAGTTCACATCCGCTACCCAGACATGTAAGAGGAAGACTAGTCACAAGACCTGCTCTGAATTTGTTCCACAGTCTGTGACAACGTGAAGAAATAAGTCAAAGCACCGTGATCAGAGGGCTAGGCCTCCTCTGTAGAGGAGTCAGCGTTTAAGCACATTTTGTATAAAAACTAACAAGTAAAAGGGTTTACAAGGAAAGGTACTCTTACTGCCTAGTTTAATAGATCAATATTTAATTGGTGAGTGAGCTTTCTCTATTTCACAAAACATTACCAATCTGCTAATATTTGTGTTGTTTCCTACTATTCCTGTACTAGAATTCAAGCTACACTGGCTTCAGTGTATTTGTTTTGATTTCTGTGTGTAGAAATCGGTATATAACCGTACTTGATGTGAAGGGGATTCCTGCAGGGACAGCAGAAACTGTGCACTACTAGGGGTCTTGTATATACTGAGTTAGTGCTAGTTTTTGTATTTGTCTTTCAGCCTGGTAAGCTTGCAATCTAGAGAGATGAGGAAAAGCACGGAGAAGATAACAACAGTAGGAAGGCCGTGGGACTAATTACAGGATAATTTTGCATCCTAATTTTGTGCTTAGAGGGACCAAAGAAGGCTAGTTTCAAGTATACTTGTGTTTTGAGGTTTGAGCTGTTGCATAAATTCTTCAGTGTCCCAGAGGATATTGAAAAATTCAATTCTCAATTCTTCATTATCCTAGAGGATAATACTGGATGAAATCCCTGGATCAACTCATTCTGAACCTTTCCTTCAGTAGAATTATAACTAAGGTTTTCCCCTTCCTTCCTTCCTTCCTTCCTTCCTGTTTTCACAGAGCTTATCAAGCTCGTATGTCTCTGAGGTTTCCACCCTCTGTCAAATCTACCTGAAACTAACCTAGAAATTCAAAGTTAGTAGGACCGCAGAAGGGACAAGTGCGCATACATAAATGTGGAACATATATAAACTTTTTTCTCTTCCATGGGAGTCCAGCTAAAAATTTGGGTTGATACATCTTTTTGTAGATATGTTGTTATTGTGGGCTTCAGAACTGAGTGCTACAGTTTTAAAGCACCTTTCAAAGGCAAACAGATGAAAACTAAACCTTAATTTCTGGTGTATAGTTCAGAATATTTTTAATAGGCTGCAGCCAAAATGAACAACGCTTTCTAATGCAAATGGATCTTAATATTTTTGAAGATTGTGATTGTGGCACATCTTGTTTCACACTGAAGAATCTAATACCCAGCAGCATGGTACTTACGGAAGTCTATTATGGTAATAGTGTCTATATAGTAGTAGTATAATAGTGTCTATATGGTAAAGTGTTTCACGTTGCAGTGAATTTTTGTTTTAATGTTTTGTTTTGTTTTTCCTACAGGACAGTTTGCAGAAAATGAAACAAATGAGGTGAATTTTAGAGAGATCCCATCCCATGTCCTATCCAAAGTATGCATGTATTTCACCTACAAGGTCCGCTATACTAACAGCTCTACGGAGATTCCTGAATTCCCAATTGCACCTGAAATTGCACTGGAACTTCTGATGGCTGCAAACTTCTTAGATTGTTAAATAAAATAAATTATAATAAAAATGTAAACTTTTTTCAGTATTTAATACCTGTAGTTCAGTTAGTAACTTTTTTTCAGATAGCATGTTGCGTGTGTGCTGTTGAGAACTGTAAAGTTCACTGCAGAGGCAATTGCCTTCAGTCCTTTTGCATATAGCAATCACTCAGTTGAAATTTGTTTTGCCGCTTACACAAGTAAGGACCTTTTCACAAACTGAGACAAATAAACAAATATGCCAATTAGTAGATGGCTATGCCTTATCCTTTAGGTGTGGTAGAACTTTCTTTTAATGCAATGACCATATAAAATACTGGAGTTTAGGCTAATGCTCTAAAAGGTAATTATAGCTAAATACAAGTAGCTGTTTAAGGTTTCTAACTTTCTTTTATTGTTGCAGTTTCTAAACATCTGAACTTAATCTCCTTTATAAGGTAGCTGTCCTTTAGCATAGTTAAACCAAGTAGATTAGAAGTGCCCTCAGTAGGGTTTGTATACTGACAGCAATATTCCATTTAGGTTGCAAGTGGAGTATGTAGGAGAATGTTTAAGGCTTTTAGTTAAAATCATAGTATAGACACATGAAAAAGTGTACTTGGTACATTTTTCTTTTGTAACCTAAATTTCCCCCTTTATCATTTAAAATACTCAAGTCACTTGTCTGTAGAGTAAGTCTGTGACCCTAATGACAGTGGCTTTTAAGGGAAAACATAACTGTATTACAATCTTTGTGTATATTATCTTCTGTATAACATATAAGGTTATTCTTAATGTACTGTCACTTGACCTGATACGGATTTTATATGTCAGCTATGTTTTTTTTTCCATTGTTGTGATTGGTTATGTAAACTCTGTATTTAACCTTTAGAGTAGTAGTCATTTAAATTTTCTAACATAGTCATTGAAAGATAGCAGTTATCCTATTCTTTACCTTTTCCCTAGCCTCGCTCTTACTTCCACAGGAAAAAAACCCTGAAATGCGAAGCCCTTTTGTATTTGAAGGAAAGGGGCATTAACCAGATGTTAAAGGAGCTTTTTTATAAATTTCTTAAATATTTCCAATGTTTTTACAAATATTTTAGGGGGAAAGGATTGGCAAGCCACGGACATAATACTTGAGTGGAACACATCATCGCTTGGTAGTTGCTGCTGGTAATTGCCTATCCTATCAATTCTCTGTTCAAAACAGGTTCCCATAAAACAAAAAAATTGAACTGAGACAAGAAACTGCTTTTTGTTCAGCAACAGCCTGAAGAACTTCTGCCAAAGTCATCTGTAAATGACAGTGATAAATCTTAATGTATCATGAAAAAATGATGCAAGGACAATGTAGTAGCATTTCCATCAGCTCTCACTACTTCAGATCTGTTGTATCAAGAATTGGTTGTGGTCTGTTATGAAAATGCCACTAACAGGTGGTGGGACTTCTTTATTAATGTATTAACTAAATAATGGTGAATTTAGAGGGTGGTTAAAAACTGTGTCTAAACCTGTTTGCTAGCATAAATACAAAAACCTATGAAGAGGTTGTCTTGGTAAAAACTGGTAACGTTGCATAGACTATGCAGTCTGCCCACAGATGAGTTCAGTTCTGGCAAATGAACTTTTACTCTGGACTTGAACAGTGCTTGACAGACACGCTGACATTTGTCAATGTGTTGATAGATTAGCTAACGTTTATTCACGTCACACTTTGGCACAATTTATTGTGTTTACTGTGGAGATGTTTGTGACTAGATTGGTTTTGCACGTTAAAGCTGAAGCGCATTGCAAGGCTATTGGCAAAAGGCAAAAACCTATGTTTAAGCACTCTGGTTAGTGCTATTAGTAACTCATTTTCAAGAGCACTAAAAAGATGAAAAAACACAAAACAGAAATACCCTGTTATGCTGCTTTTACTCAAGCCACTAGAAATACCCGGGAAGTTAAAGGAGTAACAACGTGGATATTTTAGTCCCAACTTCATTTCAGACTGAGAGGCTCTTAAGTTCTTCAGCCATCTTTTAACAGCCTTCAGGTTAGTGACTTGAAATGTAAAAAGTCTAAAACTTTAGTTTGAAATGGAAGTGAAAAGTTGAGCTTAGCTTAACTTCATTTTAAAATGGATGGGGTGGGTTTTATGGGCCCTTGGGGGGGGGAGAGGAGGGGGAACCTTCCAAAAATGTGTTTAAAATACATTGCGTTTTATGATTGCATATTTCAGCCCTAAGGTAAAACAGCTGTTTTATTTCTGCATTATAATTTCATGTTTTTTCTTCAGCTTAATGTATCATACAGTAGCTTTGAACACTCAGGAAATGCAGTAGTGTCCTATAATGCACTATTTGCAAAACACCGGCTGTTAAGAAAACTAACCTGCAACTATCTAAGGGGGAACGGTGCAGAGGTAATTAGTGCAATTGACTTGGTAGTGATGTGGGTATGCTATTAACAGACGATTGGAAACTTACCACACTTAACCCCTGAGTTCTAAATAAATTTCAAAATTGAAATTTTTACAACTGTGTTTCTGTTGATTTGTGCCTTTTTACAGAAGTCTTACTATGCAGAATCATAGTTTTCATAACTATTTGGTGAGCGAACTGCTAATATAAAACTGGTATTTGGGTAGTAGATGGCAAAACCAGCATCTGTGAAATAAAAAAAAAAAAATTAATATGGCTGTGAAGGGTGTCGTGGAACTGAAGCGTTCAGATCTCTTCACACACCTCCTAATTATAAGTACTTGTAATTCTCATGAAAGAAGCAACCAAACACTAAAAATGGATGATAGTCCTAAAAAACCTAGAATAGAATACTTTGAAGACTTCATGGGTCACATAATACTGAACTCCCTGTAATTTAGTAAGCTAGTCCTGTGTCTGATGTCCAGTTTTTAAACTCAACCACTGATTTTGTCATAAAAGGCTGCAAGTTCTTTGCCAAGTGTAAGGAATGAGGAAAGTCTTGCTTGCTAATAATTTTGTCATAGCTTGATTATAGGTTGCTAAAGAAGTCTTTGAGGGCCTTATAAAATGGTCTATTTAAAAAAAAAAAAAAGCAGAATTCTGTTCTACAAGACAGGAAATTCCTTTTTGTTCTTGAGCTGCAAAAAAGACTGTTTCATCAAGATTTATCAGGTCATTGTACTCAACAGCTGTGTTGGACATTGCTTAAAAGGCATTTATGATTAATGGCTAGTACATGTGGAAAAATGAGTTGCTTATGTCTGCGTTCTATCAGTATATTTCATACTTCATAGTCATAATCTGCAGCAGTGGCTGTTTGCGCCCCTTCCTTGTTTTTACTGTTACTGAAAGGAGTTTCCCAACACCTAAGTCTGTGGTTTTATATAATAGATAGATTGGACCCCAAAACCCTGTATTTAATGGGACAGGGAAGTTAACTTTTTCACTCTGTGTTTTGTGCCTCAACATAAAGGTGCTATTTTTTGTTTGTTTGTTTGCTTTTAAATCTCAAATATGATATCCTGATTGCAGCAAAGCAACAGCTACTGCAGAGTCAACAAAAGCACAATGTTACTGTGTGGGTACTAAGGAGAAAAATATTTTTTTCTAGCTGGAAACTAGTGGTGGAGGCTGTGGTGTAAATTTGATTTCAACAACTGAATGGGAGGAAAACAGCAGCAGCTCTTTATTTTATTTTAAGAGGGACTGAATTTGGAAATGAAACTATTATGCTGCTCTTTAAAGCTAGGTAGGCCAAAGCTCTGCAATTAGCAAAAAAAAGGTGTCTGGTTTTTCTCATGGAAAAAGATCAAATTTAAAGTTTCTTTTCTTTTTTTTTTTTTTTTGGACAAACAAACTGCATTGGAGTTGGATTTCTTTCTAAAGGTAGCTTAGGAGGTGGTAACTGTGTGGGAACATAGCAATACTGTGAACTAGATGTGTTGCATGAGATTGAAAAAGCCAGAAAAGAGCACACAGTAGCTTTTGTCATTATTATTCACCTATGAAGTTTGTTTCAGTGTCATCACTAGGGTAGCACAGAGAAAGGAAAAGTGACTTTTTATCAATTCAATAAATATATTTTAAACCTTATTTTAACTAGTGTTCTGTGTCATGAAATAAAGCTTTGAGTATGTTACATCTACAAATGTAGGCTATGGTGCAATCTGTCCTATATGGGAGAAAGGTCACTGAGATTAAAAAAAAAAAAAAACATGTCCCTCTATCATTGCCATGTTGCTGTTTTATGTGTACAGAATATAGGATTTTCCTCCCACACTATGTGGGAGGAAAATCAAAGATTTAAGATCGAGATTATTTTTTGACAAATGGAATACTTCAGTTTTTTATCCTATTGAACTTAACACATTTAGACAGTTTTCAAGACCTTAATCATATAATCAGTTTTGTAGCCTCGGTTGTTGAGAGTAGAATTTGAAAATTAACTTAAAATTGCCCCTGAAATATGTATTGCCTTTTAGGTTGGAGAAAGTAACAACTTGACCATTTTTAGACAACTTAAAATCTCATTGATTATCACTGATAATGATAAAGTGACTGATTTTCAGAATCATGCTCTGAGATAATTTGGGGGGAATATATGCATAGATTAATGCTAGACCTTATTTATTTGTTGCCTATTTCTATCCAGTTGAAAATTAGTGATAGTTCAACCAGAAGATACTCTGAAATTAAAAACATAAATACTGTGAATTCTTTCAATATTAATTCAAATTTAAAACTGCTTTTCAGGTGAGAATTCATAACGAAGGCCTCCCCCCCCCCAATACTACTGATATTGTATTTGCATGTAATAATAGAACCCCTTTATTTTTAAAATCACCACCACAGAAAGCCATAAATAATAAATAATTCATGTCTTGGGTCACTATAAATTCTTGCTACTCTGACTAGTAAAACAATGGAATATTTGTCAGGTAAGTTAATTATCTCTCACATAAATAGTTCTCAGTTTTGTTTGGCATCACCAAGCCTAAACATTATCTAGGATCTATTTGTATTTGGCATAAAGGATTTCATTTATCTTCTTACACTGGGAAAAAAATGTTCTGTATTATCATATTAAATTGACGTATAATGCTTTTCAGAAGCAACACTCCATTTAAGTTAAGAATTATTTCTAGTAAATTACTTGAAACTTGTAAATAATATCTATTGTCTTGGTTTGATTCTAAAGCTTTTACTGGTAAGATGCAGATAGTGTTTTCTGCAGGTGAGTCAAGTTTGTGTTTTTCAGAAGATTTGTTTCAGAGACTTGTAGTTTAATGCCCTCCGTCAAACTGGCAAACAGCAGTGGAAGGAGAAGTTGGCCCAATTGCTCTGGGAGGAATGTGGTCCTCCTCCTCACTCATGAGATGTGGTCTCCTGGTGCTGCAGAGTATGCTTGCTATGTCACTGGAGTAACACAGGGAGATTAACATGGATGTACAGTTAAGTTCGGTGTGAGAAGGAGACAAGATGTAAAGCTAGACAAGTGCAGTAGACTCAGAAGATCTCTTTCTCTCTTTCTCTGTCTCTCTTCAATGTTATAGCTGCAGAAATTGCAGAGAAGCAGGCAGTGACAGACAACTCAGTATACAGAAAAATGACAGAGGATTAAAGGGACAGCAGAGGAAAAAACAGTTCGGCAATGTTTGTGAAAACCTTACAGATAATGGAAGAAATGGAATACAAAATTATAAGGACCCAAACAGGGAGACATATTTGGCCTTTGTGAAACTGGCTAGACACATCAGAAGATAATCTAATAAATGCACTTTGAACATTGCATTTTTAATTTTTTCTGTAAACTTAAGGTAATGCAACCTATGGAAAAAAGTGAATTTCCAAGTCAAGTGCATGAATATTTACAGAAACATTTTTAGTAGGAGGTATGGCTCAGTCCTCATGATTTGCACTATATGTATTAGATATGCAAGGCATAAAAGTGTATTTGATCAGACCAATACAAGATAGCTCCTGAAATAATGAAGATAGATGAAATTCATTTTACCTCTAAAGTTTTGAATGTTTGGGCCTAGGATTCCAATCTTTGAAGTCTCTGGCAAAACTTGGGTTGACTGGTGCAGGGTCAGAGTGTATGGGCCAAATATTAAAGCTTTCTTTAATAAAAGAAAAGCTGTCAATTATTGTGTTGGCTATCTTTACACCTGCAACAGATTGATAAGGGTTAATTATAAAAGTATAGGTAGAGGTCAGCACTGAAATGAACAGCAAACTACTATAAAACCTACTCTTTCTGAAATCTATGCTCTCTGGGAGTTTGGGTTTTTCCCTGGTTAAATTACTTAGAGCAAAGAACAGTATGAGCCATCACAAAATCACGAATTGAAATGAATTTAAAGAAGAAAATGTTCATACAAATTCTTTCCAGAAGTCTGTTAATTGTATACGTTTTACTATTGTGCTTAAGGGATTGAACCCCTATCGCATTAGGGACTGTACAAACACTTACTAAAAAAAGGAGACTCTGCAACCAAGGTTACTGATATGAGACATGGGGAAGGAGAAAACAACAATAAAACCCAAGGATAATTCTCCAGCTTTCCTATTCCAAAAAACAACAAGAGGAGCTAAAAATGTTGCACACCTATATTAGGTGATTGCATGACACATGAGAAAACAGAACAGATGAAAACATTAATAGAAGAAATCTCTGGTAGTCCTGTAAGAATTAACTGCTCAAACTGAAGTTAGGGATAAGGGGACTCTGGTCACAGACTGCAGCTGCACAGTAACACAGCTCAGCTCCTTACACATCCAGCTAGGACATGGTAGGTAGTAATCCATTTATGTCTTATAGTTTATGTGAAGGGCAGATTCTATTCCTTGCTTTACATGTCTGCTGTTCTCAGGAATGGGATTTGCAGTGTGGATGAGGTTATCTCAGTAAATGTTATTTTAGTCCAAAGTGTTGCAGGTGCCTGTTTTTCAGATTGAAAGTGTGACCAGAAAAAGAATTCCCAAAGAACAGTAACAAGCAATGTGTTTTTGCTAAAGCAGCGTTTTGTCTACAGAATTTTTTCTTTACTACAGAGTGGACGTCATATTTGTATTGATTACAGTTATCCTTAAGACTACAAAGCTGATCTTTTCATTTACTGTATCTGGTAAACGCACAAGAGCAAAACCACTTTGCAATCTATCAAACATAGGGGCATTCATACACTTATGCCTTGTTGTATATTCTGACCTTAGAGAGGGTTTCCTGTAACAGGTTAAGAAACTGAATATAATGGATTCAAATCAGTTTTATCCCACTGTGATTACATCAACACGAACAGTCAATATGTCCCTGTTTATAGCTGAACACATGTCCACTGCCTAAACTTGATGTTCTTGCTGTCTGTGTGGCATATGGCATTAAGAAATGTATTTTAGGATAAACATATGTCTCAATCATGTAAAACAACAACATCTAGTAAAATAGTAATAACAATGTTGCACCTAATATTGTAACTGCCTAAGTTAGTTCTGAAGGACTGCGCGAAAAATTTTCACTAGTTCTAAACGTCTCTTTAACACAATAAATCTTTCA